AAACAACACACAATGCTACACATATATCTTATGAAAATATTTGTATCATCATTAAGCAAAGTATGTAAGGATAGACGGTGTTGTTACAAAAACAAAAAAAACAAAAAAAAATTTCCAGTAGCGTATAGAATAAACCTTCAGACAAGCACACGTCCAATTTCATGGCAATATGTTAGGTTTGTACTTATTCCGTGCTCGTAGCAAATAACAACTTTGGCAATTTGTGTCACTTTTTCCCCTTCTGACAAAAGGAAATAAAGAAAAGCTCAACAAAAATTATAGGAAATCTGCTCCTTAGGATAAAATGGTTGAATATTGGATCAAGGCATTTAATCTTGGGCATGGATGCGCAAGTGATAACAAAAAAATTCCTAAATATGATGAACATCCTTCACGGAAATGACGAACCGTTTTCATACAAATGATGAACACCGTTCAAAAAAGGGATGAACAGCGCTTATTCAAGTGACGGACGCAGATAACAAACGCTGGAATAAACGCTAGTCAAGCAAGCGATGATCCCAGTCCACACCAGCAATGAACACAGTTCGCACAACTGATGGATACGTGTAAGTGATGAACACGCTTCAAACCGATACTGAACACCATTCACAAAAATTATAATTGGCGTACATTCAAGTGATCAACGCCGTTTGCACTAGAGACGAACATTCATCCAACTCCTGACACACAACCGTTCCACGCGGATGAATATCGTTCACGAAAGTGACCATCTGAGGAAATACGCTATGTAATGCTTTTTTAATGTAAAAAAAGTAAAACCGGTGCAAAAACAAAATTTGTGAAGTGTATGGTGAGAATGCTGTGAATGAACGAACGAGGAGTGGTCTGCTCGATTACGTTCCGGACATTTTGATGTCAAAGATACACCTCGCAGTCCCTGGAAAAGTCAATGAAATTTTGCAACTGATATATCAAGACCGGCACGCAACTTGCCATGAAATAGTGGAAACATTTAAAAAGAACCGGCCAGAAAAGGAAGCTCGAAATCGCGGAAAAAGGCGCAGAGTCTTTTCAATATGACCTAATATCTCATGTAAACATATCCTTAACATTCGCGTGGTGTCACCTTCAGAATCGTAATCCCTTCAAAACATATTTAACTGACTACTTCAATGAAAATTTCGGGGATATGTAGGACTGTTTGGTTTTCTTTACCGCCACCTAATGATAGATAAAACATGAACTTAATTGCCCACCAGAATCAGTGAAGAATCAAAAGCACGAGTTTCGTTGAGTAAAGGTGCACATAGGCGGAAAGAAAATTATGACTTTCCCTTTTGGCATGTATCGTTACTTTGCAGAATAGGTTCTATCGGAATTCAAAATAGATTTTATCAACCCTACTGCAATCCAGCTTTATCTAACAGGATTGACAGCACTAGAACCCTGTATTCGCTTTAATAGTATCCATCGTTAGTTACGCTACACCGTGTCTACACTTACACACATACACCTACGCCTACACAATCACCTATACCTTTATTATTCCTCTAACTGATGTTATACTATATAAATCAAATGCATTTCAACGATTACCTTGTAAAGAGCACATCGATCACAAGCACATGTTGTGAAGAATGAAGAATTACCGAGTCAGATGAATAATAAAATCAAGAAGCATTGAGAGCTTTTCAAGTGGATAAAATCCGTCCATCAAGAGGAAAAATTCCAACACGATAACGCTCCAATTCGTTTGTCAAACGTTGCGAACGTAAAACTCTATGAATATGTATGTGACTGTAACTACCCTATTCTGTAGCGGTACTTAATAAATATCGTTACTACTTCCGCCACTGATCGCCATGCCATCAGTATTTAACAGTACTTTACAATGCCTGGAAACTATCCAAAAAGCTATGGCTAAAAGGGAGTTATACTTAAGACCTCTTATCGGGAAAACACTGCAACTGCATTAATTGCTGAGCGCAATGATTGCATTACGCGTTAGTTGTGGCGCACAAACTGTCGACACAAAATTGATTATGTATATTTAAATATAGATGAACATATGGCTTGTGCTGTACAGTGCGTAAATGCAAATTTTTGGTAAACCTTAAAATTAAATTAAATTATTTAAAATGAATTAAATTTTTTTCTATTTTTTCTTCTTTTGCTTTCAAAAATTACTGAACTTTTTCATTACCGTATATGTAAACAAACGCAGACCATAATAATAGCAAAGTATAATGAAAGACACCGAACTCACGCGTATATGAATTCTTTCGCCTCGCATTTCTAAAAAGAGAGGCGAGAAGTTTGTGGATCGTCAACCGTTACAAAGCTTAGCTTTTTAGTTGAAACATTATTTTATTTTTTAATGCTTTTTATTTTATTCTAAAGGCGTTTTCCTGTACTTTATAGTATAAATTGCTGTTCTGCGAATTCTTTCTTTTGGTGGGTCTCTCTTAAGGCCTTCTGGGTGTTACATATGTCCGTATTAATCTAATATACCATGTAGAACAAGTGGTACGGGCTGTAAAACAATTGTATTTTATTCAAATACACGCTGGCCTTACGATAGAAACTGAGACAATTTTCAAAAATTTGATGAGATTTGGTACACTGCCGTATTGGCAATACTGTCTGTCCACAAATGAAGTAATTATTGTGCATAATTATTGCAAATAAGAAAAACACTAAATATTCTTTTTCCACTTTCCAGATTTCGTATTTTACGTTTTCGCGGTCAGGATAAAAACAGTTATAGAATATCAACAGATTGGGAGCATCTGAGAGCAATTTATAATTACCACTTATTAGATTGTTTACAAATTAATGGAACGTGTAGCGAATACGACTGAAAATCAGATGAAATTGTTTACAAATCGATGGGAAAGCGTATGAGAGTAATTAACTGAGCAACTTCGAATTTGGTGCCATATGAGAGTAATTGAATGAACGACTCCGAATTTGTAAGCATATGAGAGTAATTAAATGAACGACTTCGAATTTGTATGCATATGAGAGTAATTACTGGACGCTGTGCGTACGCTTTTATCTTCGGACGAAGAGGAGGAGGGAGAAAATAAATCGGAAGAATCCGACAATGAAGACGATGAAAAATAGAAAAACAAGCTAAAAACAAGGAGGAAACGACTAAAGACAAGAAAAAAAATAAGAAGAAGAACAAAGAAGACAAGAAAGATGATAAAAAGAATGATGGAGAAAATTTCCAAAATCTGTGAACTGTTTATTATTTCAGATTCCTCAAAAGATTTTTTATCATTTTCGTCTAGGTAGCAGTGAGTCGAAGGAAGACATTGTTAAAAATATAAAGAATCCAAAAGATAATGATAATGCTAAAGTTAATAGCAATCAAAATAGTTCTCATCGACTATGCCAACTTTGTTCCAATGGCGTTTCACGTCATTTTTTAGTTTTTGTAAAGTTCATCTTACGCCGAAAATAGGATAATTTCGCTTGACGGGCTTTCACAAATTTCGGGTATTGTCGTATTCGAAAATACTGACTCCCAAAAATGAACCAACAGTAAACTAAAACACATGTTAACGAATATTTTTCGAGGTTTTGTCAAGCAATTTACCGCTCCCGTGAAGAGAAAAGCGTTCGCTACGTTGCCCAACGGCAATGGTCCACCTCCAGTAGCTTCGATAAGTTGAAATTTCGTACGATTAGCATTTCTATTTTTATTGTTTTACTTAAATTTAAAGAAAAAAAAGAAATCCACATTTTTTTTATTAGCAATATTTGCTTGTTGGTTTTTTAACTTACGTGCATATGTATAAATCTATATTTTTCACAAAATAATCAATGATGACCAAAAAAAGTTTTTACGTAGCCAGTTGCCTTTAAAAAATGATTTTTACGCTGCTAAACCTCCTGTGGAAACTGGAGAATCTTTAGTAAGTTTAGCGCTTACTTTTACTAATTTATGCTTCAGCGTCGCTGTAACTCTGCTGCGGTATTTGGAGCGGTATTTGAAAGGCACGATTAAACTTTTGTTAACTCTTGTTCGTTTTCTTGGTGTAAGATGTTTGTTCTTGGTCGTTTTCTTTGTATAGGGAAGTTGTTCTTGTTCGTTTTCTTTTCTTTGAACAGCATGCCAGGTGATTTAACAGCTTCTGAGAACAGTAATAGTCCAGTTAATACTCCCGCCAAGCGAATCAAAACTGAAATTGCATCCTTCCTGCCTTCATGTGTAAACAACATATACGCTTATTCTCACATGTTTGGAATTTTTATACAAATTATATTTCGGCCTGAACAAAAAGTTTTTGCAAATGGCGTGGTTAATACAAACAGCAGCAGAGAGTATGTTAAACAAAAGAAATTCATCTCAGGATTAATATTTTGATATTCGTTTTATTTTTCATTTACAGTGATTTTGGCATCACAGAGAAACTGTCAGGCGGTAAACCAATGACCAATGATCACTACATGTATTTAAGCATCAAATAAGTAGTTAATAAGTAGCTAATTACATCCCATTAAACTCAAGACGCTCAATTCCAAGCAAAAGCTACATGGAACGTCATAGACCTTCTGCGAGGTAATATGGTTTTCCTTTAGTAACATACGCATCCTAAGCCTTCAATCGACTGTATGCGATTCTTAAGATTTTTAATCGCATGCGCCAAACAATGCACTTAGTCGTTGTTCCCCCAAATGAGCTTCTAATTAGAAAAGTCCTAAACTATCTGTTTTCATTGCGTTCCGCTTATAGATTACAAATGCTAGATACTACCAAGGAACAATAGCATAATAGCGTAATGCATTTTGTAATATTTTCTTAATATAATAAAAAAAAAAACTTCTTTTCTTCAACTCCTTTACTGAATATTTCTTTTTGTTCCCTTTTTTTGGCGCAAATCTCTTTTATTCCATTTCGTTTACAGTATTGCCAGTTTTGTCATCTAATTAAAATTTATTATTTCTCAGTTGCTCCGCCCTACGTTCAGGTTAAAATCTTACCATACAATAATTTTAATTCTTAATAGAACAATTGCTTCGCAGCTGGCAGCGTCATTCTTTACACACTTCATTTTAGCAGAAGTTATCTCGCCCAGTTTAAAGGAATTTGCGTTTTTTTTTTATACAAGGACGCTGAAGTTGTAACTGTTGTATTGAAGAATTCACAAAAAAGAAAAAGTTTATCCATACCTGAAAAAAACAAACTAAAAATCATGTCCCTAGCTTTTCAAAATGCAGAGTCTGTAAAACAGACCCTATTAGAAGAATTACAAAATCTATTAAGCTCGGAAACGCGGATAAGACAGTCTGCCGAACAGAGAATGAAGCAATTGGAATTCACAGAAGGTGAGATATTTCACTTTATTTTCGGCGGTTATTTATTAGAAAAAGGAGAAATTTAGAATGGTGGTGAAATAATAAAACGTCGGCCGCTGGGCGAATAACGCAGATGAAATACGAATTTCGGCAAATAATCTTAAAAAGTTCATTAATATCATGTCAATAATGGATGGTATATTATTATTAAGCCATGTGTTTTGGTAAATCTTTACAGGTTATGGCGTTTATTTATCGGAATTAATCATGAATCAATCATTCGAGCTGCCTTTAAGGCAAATCGCCTGCATAATGTTAACACGTTATGTGGAGAATCATTGGGGCGAATGCGATGAAGAAGGCAATCCAAGTGAAGCTGGTGGCTGCGGTCCCGTTGCCACAGAACAGGCCAAACGCACAATTCGCAAAATTTTACCAAATGGTTTATATGATCCTAATTCAAAAATACGCTCATCTGTGGCTCATACAATTTCGACAATCGCTACAACAGATTGGCCCAGCGTTTGGACGGAACTTTTCGATATAATCATTAAATGTCTGGGTGGTAATGAAAATTCTATTCATGGAGCCATGCAAATTCTACAGGATTTCATTTACGATGAGAAACAAATTGTTGAACTTGGCCCAGTAGTTATCTCCGAAGTTTATCGGATATTCGAATCGGAACAAAACTATAGCATTAAAACTCGCACTTTAGCAATACGAATTTTAAAGAAATTATTTTATTCAATCAGTTTAAATATTACGGATAAGCAGGAGCAAGCTCCAATGATGAATTCAATATTAACAAATTTTATGGAAAAATTAATTCACTATTTATCAATGAATAGCGGAACAGCTTCGAATTTTATGCTACGGACAGAAATTGTGAAAAGTAAGATTTTGGATAAAATCTCCTTATATCATAGTAATATAATTTCTTCCTTCTATTTATTTTTTTGCTTCCGGAAAAGTTTTAACATTTCTTGTTACGGGAATGTCGAAATATATACAATCGTATATGGAACGGATATTGCCGGTAATATGGCAATTGCTTACCCAAATTGCCGACACCTATGTTAAGGTTATTGTTAATCAAACCGAAATAAGTCCTTTCCCGGTAACATACGGTGATAGTAACGACGACGAAGATGAACTAACAAACTTCACCAATATGATTGTGCAAATTTTTGAATTTATTCAGTGTGTTATTGGTGCTGGCAAATTTCGAGCGACTATCAAAAATGTCTTAACCGATTTAATATACATTGTAATTGTTTATATACAAGTTCCTGAAGAACAAATTGAGGATTGGCAAGAAGATCCGGAGAAATTTGTTGATGATGAAGATGACGGTGGTATGGAATTAACTGTACGCGTTTCAGGCCAAGACGTTTTAGTGGTAAGTGCTAACGTCAATTCTCAACATTTAGACATTACAAATATCTTTCCATTGCTACTGAAAGGCCTTGTACGAGGAAGTTGGCACCGAAATTCTACCATCACTTCAAGAAGCACTCAGTCGTCACATGAATGTAGCGGAAGCGGAAAAAGCTGCTGGTAATGAATTTTGGTGGAAAATCCAAGAAGCCTGTATGGTTGCCGTTCATGCTTATAATGAACTCGTTCTACATTCGCATGATCAATTTGATTTATTGAATTACTTGACAGTAGTTCGCAATTGTTTGAACTATCATGATTGTCCTCATTTAGTTGGTCGGGCCTTATGGACACTAAGCACCTATTCGAGTTCAAAACTATTTAATCCTCAAATGTTAGATGAAATCTTAATGGTTACTCTACAAAGTCTACAAGCGGATAAGTCCATTATTTTAAAGATTAGCGCCGTAAGGTTAGTTCAAGAATGAATTTATTGCCTTCATTTGAAGTTTTCAATTGAATTCTCCCCTTTTACCCGTAGAGCTATTTACAGTTTTGTTAAAACACATGAAAAACCAAACGATGAGAAACGAGCATTGGTTCAAAATAAATTATCCGGTTTTCTAGAAGGCATTTTGGATTTAGTACCAGGTTGTAAAAGTTCTGTTCTTGGAATGCTGTTAGAAGCTTTGACTACAATAATAACGGTACTGCTCCTTGCAATATAGTAATTTTCTTAACATAGCCTTTACACTTTGCTGCCCTTTGGGTATTTCAGTTCGATCCATCATTTGCAGTTACTGCTCAAAATAAATTGATTCCCCTGGCGTTAGCAGTGTTTTTGAAATATCCTGAAGATCCTTTCATCTTGGAAATCGTCCAGGAATTAATTAAAGCTCTTTGTCAAAATCCGCATTGCTTACAACCGCTGCAGGACAAATTCATATCAACAATTGTCAGTATATTGTCGTTGCAAGACGAACAAGCTAGCACTGCCAAACAAGATATAGCCCTGGATGTTCTTACAACTATTGTAAAATATTCACAAGCTCCGCTATCGGCGGCTCTTATTGAAAATGCTTTTCCAGCCATGATTCATTGCGTTCTACGGTCCGATGATCACGCCGTTATGGTCGCAGGCGGAGAATGCCTACGGGCTTACATTTTTGTTTCACCTGAGCAAATCTACGCCTATAAGAATGGTGAAGGTCTTAACTATACTATGCAACTGACCACCATGTTATTAAATCCAATGAACAACGAATTGACAGCCGGTCAAATTGGACGTCTAGTTATTACTATCATCACGAAAATGGGAAATATGTTAGGTGAAAATGTTGACCTGCTATTGAAAGCTGTTATCAGCAAAATGCAATTAGTCGAGTGTTTGAAAGTAATTATGAGCTTAGTTGTAGTGTTCGCGCACTTGTTCCTTACTCAAACGGAGGCTGTATTGAATTTTCTCTCCACCGTACCGGGTCCAACAGGCGAGCCAGCCATGCAATTCGTTTTTAATAATTGGCTGTCAAAACAGACTTCTTTCTTTGGTGCCTACGAACGTAAAGTAACCACAATGGCCTTGTGTAAACTCTTCGAGTACGGTGTTACAACGCAAGATACCCGTTTGACTTCCATAAATGTAAAAGATCTCGTTATTAATGAGGCTGCGAATCAAGCGACGCGAGTAAAAACACGTTCTCAGACGAATCATCAATGGGTGTCAATGCCAGCTTTAGTTAAGATGTTCAAATTGCTTATCAACGAGTTATCGCATCTAAAAGAAGCTCATTTTGTTGATTACGAAACGGAAACTGATGATGAGGAGGAGTCGCATTTAGCTGAAAGTGCTGAAAAGCCAACCAACAACGCATCGCCGAAGTTTCAAAGTTTCATTTCCGATTTATATTTTGCGACTGACGATGATGACGATAACGATGACGATCAGCTTACACAAGAACTTTTAAATGGACCATTATTCCAAACTAATATGGAAGATAATCTTACAAAGTTCCTGCAAAACTTTTCCAGCAGTGAACATTTCCCAATGTTCGTCAGTCATTTGACTGAAGCTGAAAAAGGTGTTTTAAAATCCATACAAGTTGAGGTAGCCTAACTGTTGACTTTTGAGTTTTGGCATCAAAAACATTAATTTCGATTTAATTTTTCTATAACCTTTTAAGAGAAAACATTTGATTATCTTTCACAATTTATTTGCAAACATTTTTCGAACTCAGGTATGCTAAGAAGGTTTCTTTGAAGCCTTGAATAACTCTGAATTAATATAAAAACGTTTCTTGAATATGAAATCAGAATATGATATCAGAAAGAATGTGTTACGAAAGTTTTGTACGAAATTTATATATTACCAGTTGTTGTAGTGTTTTCACTTAATAAAGTTAAAAGATGTTTCAACAAATTTTCTAAGCGATAAGCAAGCAACAAATTAAAGCTTAACAGCGAAAGGATTATTGAACGCCGAGTCAATAAATAACGTGCAAACCATGAAATCTTACTACCACTGATCATGTTCCAAACGCGACTACAAAAGCGGCTCTCGATAGCCACTGCGTGCAGTACAACACGTCTTATGAGTAACCATATGATGCATCGACAAGGTGCCCTCCACAACCAGGTGTTAGTTATTCGCAGTGGTGTATCGGGCCAGACGAGGTAAATAGAATCACGTAGTCGGCGTCAGCCTTATTAATACAAATTTACTCTAAATTGTGCATTTGCATTTTTTATAGGTCCTACCCTACCCTACGTTAGCATTGATTTTTGTGAAATATGCAAGAGTCTAAAGTAGATATGCCGCTAATTTTAGCCCAGGTTTTGATTTTTTTTTTTTTTTTTTTATGATCAGCCACTCAGTAGATGTACCCGATACATGCGGGTGCAGTGACCATCAAAAAGATTTACAGAAAGAGAAGGAGAATAGTGTTTGGGAATGTTTTCTTTGAAAATGGAAACATCAGGTATGGTGGGAAGCTTGCTTCAATGGTTAAAGAACGACCAGTCGCGGTAGTGTGTTGTGCGGTGTACAGGTAGCTTCACGACATCTTGGTATAGGTTCTTTAAAAATTACAAAAGCAAGGTCCGCGTTGTAGACCTTACTGGGGGTTAGTAGTAAAAATCGATCGCATCAATGTGATGTGTAAGCTTTTAAGGAAGATTTACAATAACAAAATTTTAGTCAAAATAAGGGTACTTTTGAAATATCGTGTACGCTCATAATGTACTGACTTTGGAAAGGGTGAAACCCTGGAACGATGTAAAGTAACTTGTTTTTTACTAGGCACTTGGAAAATTTCCATACAAGAAGTGGAAAAATAAAGGGGAGGAGCATGTATGTTCTTAATCAGCTGGAGTATGTCCGCCCGTACATCTATGTAGTGCTCTAAACATTTTGCTGGCCGCAAAACTGAAGCTGTCGACTTTAAATTTGGCAGTAACATTGGAACCTCTTTTTTACAGAAATACGAAGCAAATAAATCTAAAAAAATTTGAAGGTATGTTCTATGTACGATAGTGTAGAAGATGGTGTAGAAATTGATCATGCCTACTCATTATTATAGTACATCAAAATATGAATTTCTTTATACCGCGCAGAGCCAAGCTTCAAAAACTCCATCAAGTTTACATAAATTCTTGGCGAGTTTTAAATTCGTAATGCACTTAATCATGTCCGTTTGCCCGACTTCCCAGCTGTGTAGCACCTGATCGATGTTCTCTCGTTCGCAAAAATGATGATAGCGGCTAAAATTTGCAAAACAAGGTTAGAGTGGCCCAAACTGATCAACCAACACGCCTGCAACGACCACATACCTATGCAACAAACACAGTGAATACCTTTCCGGTTCTATAAATGTCTTTTGCTTTATACACTACATGCCTGCACCACATAAATCTCTCCACTTTTAGTCTGAACACAGAAAAAATCAGCCGCGCCCACTCAATATTATAGGGTATAAAAACGCTGTTCTTTTTTTTTTTTTAGTCCTTTACATGCTTTATATGAAACATATATTACATGGGGAAATTTTCGTAGCAAAAGCAATCGAACAATAAGTTTGTGTTGGTGATCAAAAAACAGTAGAGTCTGTCTCAATAATTTCTTTTGCTGCCTTAAATATATGACGGGCGGAAATTCCAAAGCGATCCAAAAGAGTATATGCGTCCCCTGATCGTGGTACGCTGGGTATAAACAAATGTTTGACAATAAAGCCGCGTCTATCAGCCAAAGCGCTAAGTACAGCTTCACCCAGCCCTCCCTGCCTATAATGAAAACAAGAGGACTTTCTATTGTGTCTCTATAGATGTAAACGCCTTTTGCAACTTACTGATAATGATCTTCGACAACAAGTATGAGGCCATAGCATGCGTAACCATTTTCCAAAATTGACTCCCGATCGAGAGGTTTAATAGTGAATGGATCAAGTACACGGGCATGCATGCCTATTTTTTCCAATCCTGTCGCTGCCCTTAAACATTCCAATAGGGTTACGCAGGCACCAATAAGTAGGATTTGATCTTCTGAAGATTGTTTTAAAATATGTGCTTTTCCTACTGCAAAAGTCTCATCGTTATCGTATATAACGGCAGTATTCGGTCGTGATGTGCGTATAAAACAAATACCCTTAGTGTTGGCAGCCAATTCAACGGCTCGTTCACAACTTACAGCATCAGTCGGATAGAATACAGTACTGCCAGGTAGGGCTCGAAACAATGCTATATCCTCGAGACCCATCTGAGATGGGCCATCTTCACCAATACTTACGCCACAATGCGAGCCAGCGAAGTTAGCATTTGTTCCAGAAATCGCTCCCATCCGTAATTGATCGAAAGCCCGCGTGAAGAAGGCCGCAAATGTTGAAGCGAAAACTATAGTGCGATCGCGACAGGCAGCACCAATAGCTGCACCTACTAAATTTTGTTCGGCTGTAAAACACTCAATGAAATTGTTAGGGAAAGCTTTCTTCAACTTTTCCGAGAATGTCGAGTTGCTTGAGTCTCCATCTAAAGCGATAACGCAAGCATTATATTCGACTAATTTTACCAATGCTGAACCATAAGCCATGCGAGTAGCTATCGCATCTCCTATTTTATAGTCAGGGGGTGTAGACAATTTAACATTGGTAATGTCGACATTGGGCACTGGTGCAATAATTGACAAATTTTTGATCGTCAACTCATGACCATCCGCTTCTACAATCAGATCTTGCAAATGTTTGATAACGTCCTCGGCCTTATCACCTAAAGGTCTCCCATGCCAGCACTCCATATCTTCGATATTTGGGAAATGTTTACCTTTAAAAGTTTTAGCAATAATGGCAGTCGGTTTCTTTTTAGTATAAGCTGCTTCATGGAACGCTTCAAGGAGATCTTCCACATCATGACCATTAATGACGTAAACATTGCAACCGAATCCTTCCAGACGTTGACGGTAAATATCCGTTTGGTGTCCCAATGAAGTGGGACCCGATTGTCCCAGACGATTAACATCGAAAATTATACATAGATTATCTAATTTGTGGTGAGCAGCAAAGTGTAGAGACTCCCACACCGAACCTTCGGCCGATTCACCATCGCCAACCACGACATAAATTCTGAAATCAAAAATGCGCTAATGGAAGAGATTGCTTTTTTTTTTTTTTTTTTTGTTTTTACCTGTAATTGGATTTATCGAAATACTTGCCCACGTATGCCATACCAGCGGCTACCGCCACGCCTTGGCCCAACGAACCGGTAGCGACATCGATGAAATTTAAACGCGGTGTGGGATGACCTTCCAAATCGCTATCGAATCTACGTAAATTTAGCAAATTTTCTACCGGAAAGAGACCCACTTCGGCCCAAGCTGCATATAAAATGGGGGCAGCATGACCTTTTGATAATATTAATCGATCACTTGCTGGATCGCGGGGACTTTGCAAATTCAAACGCATCGTATAGAAGAATAATACTGACATTATTTCCGCAATAGACGAGCATGACGTCGGATGACTAAAAAGTTACAAAAGGCAATAAAAATTTACATTCTTTTCCTTAAATGGATTATAAGCTAGCAGTTGTCACATAGTGACCTCAATAATTAATATATATATATATATATATAAAATAATGTATCACATATGATACCATATATGTATTGTGAAGAGGTCATAGAGGAATAACTTTTTTTGTGCGTCTGTCATCACTCCGACGATGTCCCCTATTCATGTAACACGGGGGCGGTTAGAAAGAAGTGAGGAAAAATAAAGATGTAACGAGCTTGTGGTCACAGCTAACCTACTCATTATTATAGTATGGGTAAAGGAAAGTACACTTTTTCTAAAATGATTTATATATATCGACAATTACCAGAAATTTCCATACTCACCAATATCCTTTAAGGCATTAAATTCTGTAGGACAAATTCGAAAAGAAGTGAACGGAAAAATTTCAAACAAAAGCGACGCTACACCAAAAGGCAAAATCCTTTGCCCAAAAAGAGCTATCAAATTCGAAAATGGTAGGTTCTCGCCTAACTTACTTATCCTGGCCAATAATATTTATAGATCAGCCTTCAGTGAGTCTTTTTGTAGCAACAACATAATCCGGGGATGAGGTAAGTGAATACTTTTGGAGACCTGCATTCTTATGATAAGTAGTTGAATATTCTTACATAAAGTATTTTTAGGTTAGGTAGGAGGTTTTAAAAGACATACACAATTGATCAAAACAGAAAACTCCCTAACGAAGTAGACAACTAAAAATAAACTAAAAACGATCAGCGCCGTGACATTAAAGAGCATTAAAGAGCTGAAACGAAGATATGATGAAAAGTCGGTAGACAAGAAGTTCGGCATTGGAACAGAACGTCCATACCATAGACTTTTTAGTTCATCATTGACTATCCAACTACGATTTGAAAACTCACCCAGATTTTGAAGCTTGAGTAGAAGTTATCGCATGTATCCGCAGGCGATGAGCGATATTTTGTAGTTCTTGAATCGTCTCATCTTTTAAAGATAAGTAAGCCATATTCAGGTCGCAAGATTCCGGTGCAATGACGTTTTCACCACCTTTGAAGCCAGAATGAGCGTCTTGACCGTAGGGTCGTTACGGAAAATTTATTTAGAAAATTTTATTAGAAAATTTTTGTAATAGAAAAAGAGGAACATCTCCCATTCCTTTGACAACTTTCGTTTATCTACTTTCCAATGTCTACTTTGTTATGATTAACTCGTTCTATTTTTATAAATTAATTCTGTCTTAGCTAAAGGTCACAGCGTTGCATGATTACGGCCGTTACAAGAAGAATCAAATCTCATATAGCGAATATCTTAAGTTCAGGTGATATTCATGACAAATAAAAATTGATAATAAACAATAATAAACATTTTTTTTCTAATGTTATCGGACATTAACTTTTATACTCAAAGGAAATGTAGTCCTTAACCTAAGTTATATTGAGCATTCGCGACAAGGCATATTTCCACTATGGCGCTATGTCTACGTTAATATTACTATTGAGAAAATATATATATGACCCTAATCGGACCGCGGTGATCTTTTGAGGCTCATTTGAACTTTCAATTTCATAATGCACTTTTAAATACAACAAAATTTCTTTTACCCTACACTACTTGTGGCACAAGGCTACATATTGAGTTTGTACGCTTTTATATAACACCCAGATGGGCTTGGGGAAGATCTCCTTTTTCTTGTACAAATCGATTCATAATCACTTTCTGAATCAGGAATCACTTTCAGAATCGATCTAAGCTTATATGTCTGCCTGTCCGTCTTGTTTTCTTTTGTTCAATCTGCAAGCCACAATTTTTGAAATATTTTAGAAGAAGTTTTACTTCCGCAATGAACGCTATTGAAAACTGTTTCGATCGAAGCACTTTTTCGATCTCTTCCTGTATAATTTCTTATATTGAATAGTTAGCTGAAAAACTGTAGTGCGATGTGATGTGATGGACCGTGGCTTACTATGAAATCCTTACTTGTTTGCTTTATTTGAAATTGACAATCAACACTAAAAAAAACAAAGTTTTGTAAATTTACAGTTAGTCATGACATCAAAATTAACTTTTTCTTCTTTGTTCTAACGAATCTTACCACGATGAGTCTAACGGGCTCACAATCAGAAAGAAACTCCGTACTTTGGACAAGAAGCGTCCAATCGACTCATATTATAGTTGGGGCAGAGGTTCATTAGAAAATTTTGCGTACCATTTCAGAATCATAAGAACAGCAATAATTTCTTTTCGAGCTTTGAACTGAACAAAGGTTTATACAGAAATGTAAGATCCGTCGTAAACATTCTCTTAACCGAAAAATGAAGCCATAGTCTTAGGGCAAGTATTGGAGATGCTTGCACTCGGGTTGGTATTTAAGATAGCCTAAGTCGGTCCAAGGACACATTTACGGTATGTCCCCTTTGGCGTTTTTGGTCGCCATTTATACAGTAATCCCCCCTCGGTAGATTGGTTTCGCGTTATAGGAAAACGCTTTATGGGGGTATTCCCGTTTAAGGCATTTTTACGACCTCGTATAACGCGTTACGTATAAATGATTCATCACATTTAACCTTTCTCACTGCAGTGTAAAATTTAACCTACACCTTTTAGTACACAAATTTAATAAAATAATTTAATTTTGTAATAACACAATTGACACACGTGTAAAGGTACGCGAAACTAATTATGAACTATACAAATCATTATAAATGTCACAGTACAGAAATATATATGTGGGAAATCCACGTGTTATATGGGGAAATGCCCGTGTCATACGGGGGATTGAAATCGCGTAATATGAAAACGCGTTATAGGCGGGACTACCGTGTATGAACGCAAAATGAAAAGTGGAACATATATTCTACAAAAATGGAAATAATCAGCCACGCCCATTCAATATTATAGAATATGAAAATTTATTTTTCTCCTTTTTTTAGGGTAAAAGTAGTTGAATATGAAAGACTCGGTCAACTTACAATTTTGTCACTTGTTATAACCTACGTCAGCTTTTAAGTTATGCAGATGTGTGCAGCATCCAGAAGGCCTTGAGATGGATCTACCTTTCATTATATCGAGAGGTGGGTCTATCGCAAGTCTTTCTGGATATTGTAGACAATAAATGTGAACATTTGTATTTTGTATCTTATGAGAAGTGCGCAAAAAAGTCAGAAAGGTGAAATGTTCTTCAATATGTCCATTTTCAGTACCCAGCTGCTTGCACGAGTTTCCTATGCTTTTACAAATTTGTCGATGATGTCTTTACTTTGGCGGACGGACCGATAGATAGACAAGCTTAGATCATTTCAGAAAGGGATGCAAAATTGACGGATTTAATAATACGCGGATATGTGCGAAAAATGTTTCTTTAATAGGGTACAAGGAAATTCCAGAAAAATTTTTTAAGAAAATTTTATAAGAAATTTATATTTGTATTGTATACTGTAGTTGTAGTCGTATTTTCACTTAAAAAAGTTACAAACGTTTCAACAAATTAGTAAATGATAGGAAAAGAGTAAATTAAAGCTTAAGGATGTCTTGTGCGGCCTTGACAATGTGCCGGGCGGAGATGCGAAAATAATCCAAAAGAACGGTGGGTGGTCCTGAGCGTGGTACGGTGGGTACATACAGGTGTTTAACAACAAAGTCACGTTTATCGGCCAAAGCACTAAGTACAGCTTCGCCGAGGCCACCTTGCCTGTAAAGAGAGAAGATTTATATTCTTTTATATCGGAATTAAGTTAAAATATTTCTTAACTTACTGATAATGATCTTCTACAACAACGATGCGGCCACCACATGTCTGACCGCTTTTCAAAATTAGATCACGATCTATTGGTTTGACAGTGAAAGGATCAAGTACACGGGCGTGAATGCCCTCCTTTTCTAGTTCTGTAGCTGCCTTTAGGCATTCGTATAAAGTGACACCGGCACCAATCAGTAAAACTTGATCCTTTGAAGACTGTTTTACAATATGAGCTTTTCCGATCTCGAAAGTTTCATTGTTATCGTATATAACGGCCGTATTGGGTCGTGATGTGCGTATAAAACAAATGCCGATAGCGTTGGCAGCCAATTCAACGGCTCGTTCACAACTTACAGCATCAGATGGATAGAAAACAGTACTACGAGGTATGGTCCGAAACATTGCTATATCCTCTAGACCCATTTGAGATGGGCCATCTTCGCCAATGCTTACGCCACAATGCGAGCCAACGAAATTGACATTTGTTTGTGAAATGGCTCCCATTCGTATTTGATCGAAGGCACGCGTAAAGAATGTCGCAAATGTGGAGGCGAAAGCTATGGTGCGATCACGACATGTCGCACCAATCGCAACGCCAACCAGATTTTGTTCGGCTATAAAACATTCAATATAACGATCAGGGAAAGCTTTCTTCAACTTTTCAGAGAATGTAGAGTTTTTCGTGTCCCCGTCTAAGGCAATAACTCGATTATTATTTTCGGCTATTTTTACCAAGGCCGTACCATAGGCCAAACGTGTTGCTACTTGATCACCTAACTTATAAGATGGCGGCGTAGATAACTTAACATTAGTGATATTGATCTTTGGTACCGCCTGAGTATTTACGGGACTTTTTATTGACAAATTATGGCCATCAACGTTTACAATCAGACCTTGCAAATGTTTAATCACGCTTTCCGCCTTGTCACCCAACGGTTTACCATGCCAATTCTCCATATCCTCGATGTTTGGAAAATATTTACCTTTAAAGGTTTTGGCAATGATAGCAGTAGGCTTGATTTTAGTGTTTGCCGCTTCGTAGAATGCTTTACATAGCTCTTCGACATCATGGCCATCAACAACAATGGCATTAAAACCAAATGCTTCTAAACGCTGACGATAAACGTCCATTTGATGTTGCAATGAAGTTGGTTCCGATTGACCCAAACGATTAACATCGAAAATAACACATAAATTATCTAACTTGTAATGGCTGGCAAAATGCAAGGATTCCCAAACTGAACCTTCAGCTGACTCGCCATCGCCAACCAGGACATAAGTTCTGAAATGAATTGAAACGTCTCATGAAATCCATAATTTTATTAATCTCACTCACATACCTATAATCGGATTTATCGAAATTCTTGCCCACGTATGCCATACCAGCAGCTACTGCCACGCCTTGACCCAAAGAACCAGTACCGACATCAATGAAATTTAAACGTGGTGTGGGATGACCTTCCAAATCGCTGTCAAGTTTACGTAAATTTTGTAAATCTTCCACCGGAAATAGACCAGCTTCGGCCCAGGCGGCATACAAAATGGGAGCAGCATGACCTTTCGATAGCACAAATCGGTCATTCGATGGATCACGTGGAGATTGCACATTCAACCGCATCGTGTTGAAGAACAATACAGACATCACCTCTGCAATGGACGCACATGATGTGGGATGACTGCAAATTAAAAGTAACATAAATTAAATTCTCCGTCCCTCTCTTCTATATATTTCTTTCTCTCTTGTAATTAAGAAAAAAAAAAGAAATGAATTATAGAGTGATGGACAAAACAGTGGCTACAGGTTTTACTTTAACATAATACCAGGGCAATGATCAAATATTCAAAATACTGTTAAATCATCCAAAATTAGGAGAGGCAAACCTAATCTTTTTTTAATTTACTGAGATTTTGAACTTACAACTCAATGTTAAGCTTCAAAAAACTAAATTGACTGCATACATGGCAAATACTGTCTTCCTGGTAAAAGTACGCTTTCCAAGCGATGCTTGTATTCAAAAACAAATATTATTTCACGCGTCAGGCGAGTTTCATTCAAAAATCGTTTAAATTGAGTCGCGAGTTCCGCCAAAATTACCAAATGAAAGGCAAGTTTTGTCTTGCCTTTAAAAGTTGAGTATAGTAGGGTTATATCTGCCTTCCCCATAATAAAATCTTCATGTCAAGATCGAAAATCAATTTAAGAGTCGCAAGGGCCATACTTCTAATAAGCAAAAAACTTTATGCAAACAAGAAGTTATTTAAGCCGTTAACTGTGCCTGACAATTGTAAACGCCATGATCCGTCCAACCGTCCTTATCGGATTTCCTTACCAAATATTATCACTATGAATTTGTGTTTGGTATAACTATGTATTTTAGAACATATTTCTATAACTTTATCAAGTCATCTTTCCTCTCTGTTTGACAACTATACTCGCCATCGCTAAAGAGTTCAACATAGTTAACTGTTTAAACATACACTTATTTATTGTGTATAGAAAGGTTTATAACGCTGAAGATTTTCAATATCAAATATTCTATTAAACTTCGCATCTTACAACTGTTTCATATATCTACATAGGGAACTTACTCTACAATTACAATCGATTGAAGATTTTCTTTTTTTAACATAAGCTAGAGGTGAGTAACGTACATTGAATATAGTTTTTCCTTTTCGACTTTTCTTTTCGCCAGACAAATCTATTAAGAAAATCAAGAAAAAATTTCTTCTATTATTTTACTCATTAGTCTAAATTCTTATAAATTGCATGACATTTCCATACCAATTATAGTTCAATCGCTTCTTAATTTGGCGTTCTGGAGTAATAGTCACAATATAAAGCTTTGCAATATCAATTTTGTTGTAAAATAAAAAAAATAAAAAATATTTTTGCCTGCCTTGTGACGCCTATGATATTAGTAAGTAATTGACTTGTTACATATTAAAGGCTAAAACAGCTGAAATAATAAACAATAGGCGTAATTATGATACTATTTGGAAAATAGAAGCGAACGTAAGCAAGCAGCCGCTTGTCTTTATAAATTTATAGAGTTGCCTTTTGCACTTAGTCAGGAGTAATTAAAGTTTGTAAATTGTTGAATGTGACTTTTACAACTTAAGAATCTTTTCGTGTTTGTCTTAAAAGTAACAAAAGAAAAACGCTTTAGTGGAATACGGCCCACCATTAAATGCCTTACTTCACTTTGCTTAATGCAGTTGTTTGCATGTTATATATTAAAATAAGATTTTATGTAGAAAATGGTCGAAAAAGTGGTCAGACAGACAGACAAGCTGCGGAGAGTGATGCTGAATTAATTAGTATAATGAAAGGTAGGCCTAAGTTGAACATAAGAAAGAAAGAAGGACTGAAAAGATTCAGAAAGTGATTCTAAACAGATTAGTATAATAAAATATGGGTTTGATTTGAAAAAAGAAAGCAAGATGGACAGGCGGACCGTCAAGCTTCAGAAAGTGACTCTGAATGAATCGGTATAATAAAAAATGGGTCTAGATTGAAGACAAGAAAACAAAATGGACAGAAAGACAGACAATCTTAGACCCGTTCAGAACGTGATTATAAATTACGGGGTATAATGGGCGTAGGTTGAATGCAAGAAAGCAAAAGAGAAGGACAAATTTTAGAAAGTGATTCTGAATCAGTTAATATAATAAAAGGCGGGTGTAAGTTGAATACGAGAAAGCAAGACGGACAGATAAACTCCAGAGAGTGTTTTTAAAACAATTACTACAATCAAAGGCAGATCTAGTTTGAACTAAAGGAAGCAAGATAGGCAGACGGACAGACAAGTTTCAGAAAGTTATTCTCAATCAATTGGTATAATAAAAGATTGGCTTAGGTATTGCATATTTCCGCAAAAACTTAAGGTACCCTTGCACCACGAGTCGTATGTGGTATAAAAAGGCGAACGTGTTCTTTTCACAGTTTACAGTTTTTATTGAAAGGAACGAAGGAAAGGCTTCTTACATTACATTAATTGGAATAAATCTTGGCAAAGGAGAAATACAAGCCATGAAGGTAGAATAGAGAAAACTTTCCAAAAAAAATACAGTTAATATGTTTACTTACTGTTGTTTGTTTGTTGTTGTTGTTGTTTTCTACAGTCAGTAGTAACTAACTTTAATGACTGTCCTTGAAGTAAAAAGAAAATGGTCTAAGACCGCTTAAATTTTCGAATACTATCTATTTTGTTCAACCTTGAAAATAAAAAAAAAATATAAAAAAATTCTTATTAAAGAAAAGTTTAAAACACGTGGTTTCCACTTGCTCTAATGTATACATTGGCATATCATGTATATAATCGTCAATTTATCGTTGGAGCTATGTCAGGGTCATAGTATTCAATGTGATCTCGTGTAAGCTCGATTAAGGTTAAACTACTTTTCAATTTTTTATTACATTAAATTTGTGACTATATTCAATTAAACATAACATAGCATAACAAACTCACCCAGATTTCGAGGCTTGCGTAGAGGTTATCGAATGTATACGCAAAAGTTGAGCGATATCCTTTAACTCCTGAATAGTTTTAGCTTCGGGTTTATGATAAGACATTTTCAGACTTTCTTTTAATTATCTTTGTGCGTGAAAGAAAACTTTAGTTTTTTTTTTTTTTATTATTAAATTGTGAAAATCTTATCTCTATAATTATGGCCTCGTTCACAGAAAAAAAGCTCACTTGATTATTAGCCGGCTTCTTAATTCTCACTAAAAAGTCGGAGATAGAAGATTTTACTTTTATTATAATGGAATGTTAGCGGTGGTGTTTAGTTATGCATTAGTAAGTAAATTACTTACGTTGCCATATTTATTTATTTATTATTATTATTATTTTTTTTGACTAAACTATTGCCACTTATTCCATATGAAATAAAAATTTAGACCGTAAATATGTTTATTATCTACTTCATACGGTATTAGCTAATGTCACTATGCCATTAGCTAATATCAATATGTTTTATTAGTAAAAGTTTCAATATTTTTGAACTACAATCATTCCTCATATAACACGCTTAGTTCGTATCGCGTTGCATGGGAACCGTCTTATATAGAACAATATAGTTTCAGCTTAGATATAACATAAATCAAGTCAAAGTATACCCTGTGGCATCGAGACCTGCTTTATGTTTTATCGAAACTGTCTTGTAGGAGAATATGAAATAATATAAATCAAGGGAATAGGCACCGTGTTATATCGAAACTCGAATTGCGTTGTGTTTATGTTATATCGAAGCCGTCTTACACTATGACTAGGACTATGAAATAATATAAATCAAGGTAAAAGGTACAGTGCTATATCGATACTTGTTTACTGTTGCCTGTATGTTATATCGAATCGTGGTATACGATACTTTGAAATAATATAAATCAACGCAATATGTACCGTGTTATATCCAAACTTGTTTTGCGCTATGATTATATTATATCCAAGCTCTGGCATTCGGGACATTGAAATAATATAAATGTACCTGTATGTCCGTACGTTTGCACCGTTTATATCGAATCTGCCTTATACGAGATTTTAATATAATATAAATCCAGGCAATGTGTACTGTCTTGTGTCAAAACTCGTTATGTTTATGTACGCCGTATGCCACGGCTTCGATATAACTACTAATGTACTAGTATAATTTATATCGTGTTACATGGAAGCCTATTTTGAATATATTGAACCTGCGTTATATGAGACTTTCAAATAGTACAAACCCAGGCAATGTGTACTGCGTTGTTTTGAAACGCAATCTTAAGGTGCAAAATTTCATGATAGCCTAATCCTTCGTTCCAAATATGCAAAGAAACGCAAACAAAAACGTAATTGCAAGTTTTTATGAAGAGAGAAATACAAAAACTATAGTGCACCATGGCCCACTCTGCACCGTCCTGCAAATATTCGTACAGTGAATTTTCAAAAGAACACGTTATATAGGAAAAAGGTGTACTTTTCATAAGAATACTTATAAGAGCTGGGTTTAAAAAAGAGCCCTGCGTAGTCCAAATGTAGTACATTTAATTTTAAAATTTAATTCTTATGGGCCAATTTTTATTAAAAAAAAATTAAAAATTGTAAATTTTTGCAATGTAGAAATTTACTTTCCGTAAGAGCATTGACATGGAGGAAGCTTTAAAAAAATTGGCGCATTCATTTTAAAATGAATATGATAAAAACAGCGATTATATTTTTCTTAATAACGCTAGCGTTATGGGTATCAAATAAAAGGACTTGGAGAATAGAATGCGAAAAACTTAGTGGTGGTTATGCGGGATTCGGCCCCCGCCGAATATAAGTTTCTTACTTGTTTTGTTCTAATTCTTTGTATACGTACAAAACCCTATGATTTGCCAACTCTCATAAAGTCTCTTAAATATTGCATTATTGTGTTAGTCACCTAAAAGGAAATTATGGTTTACTGCTAATGTTAAGAAAATAACGAAAATTGGCAAACGATTTTTTCAATCGAAATTTTTATTTATATATATATCTGTATTAATTTTTTTATTGTTAATTTTCTTAAACTAACTGTTTATTTATATATGACTACTTCTTCTTACGGGCAAGCGAACGCTTGGTTTTCATACATTAAATACTTTCCAGCAGGGTGATAATCAATTATCTGAAACTTAAGTTTTGTTCGCGACCAAATCGATAGTTGATTAACGTTTTTTGTTTATTTTTAATTATGGCTATCGATAAATAAATTAACAGACCCACGGACGTGAGAACCCCTCAGAAACGCCTGATATGTGAAAACGGTTACTTTGCGTTTTCGTCATAATGTATTTAATTTGTTGTTACTGCTTACGTCAGTTTACATTTGGCAACACTGCATTTCAACAAACTGATTGAGAATATTTTAAGCGAAAAATTATTCTACTTTTGCATATGCTCAGTTATTCTGTTGCTTTCCTCCTCTCCGAGTGCTTACTAGTCAAGTCGGAGAAAAAGTTAAAACAAAATTAAGAAAATAACATTTCTTTTTAATTAGTTTGTTCGTAATGTGTTGTAAAGTATTTTTTTATAATAATGAATGAATTAGTATCGTGCTTAAACTGGGATCCAGTGAAATGTTTGGGACAAGGGGGTTTTGGCCGCGTAATGCTCTGGAAGCATCGGCAAACAGGTCAAGAAATTGGTAAGAAACTAATTGCTAGAATGCGGTTTGGGGATGAGATGCGTATAAAATTGGGAAATTTTTATGGTCAAATTTTTCTCTTTACTTGCGGTAATGAATTTATAACTACGATTTGTTTAGTTCTTTTGTGTTATTATATATACATTCATATCTGATTTCCGCGAAAAAAAAAACTTGTTATATTGAGATCGGAAAGAAAACAAAACATTTGCATGCCAGCTTGACTTGAACTTAACGCAATGATATTTTCTAATACGTAGATTTCTATATGTCAGGTGAATATGTCGGTTAAAAAATCGTCAACAGCATATTAATATACTTACTATATACAATTGGCAAGCTTTATAATAAGGATCAATGAATGTGAGTTTCAAAAAAAATTTTACTTAATGATTTTTTTTTTAAGCCGGACCAACTTTAAGTTTACCTTTGCAAACAATTGAATGAATCATTACAACCGATAAGAGAAAATTATTAAAAACATGCATATATACGCTTACAAACAACGAAACAATTTGACGAAAACCAATTTAATATGTGTGTTAACGCCGTTAAATATATATCTATATATGTATACGAATATATATACACACATTATGTGTATTATATATATCTATATGCATGTGAACTTAACCCTACTCGCACCATACATTTGATGGCATACACGCATCAATTCATTTATTTCGACTGCCATTATTTTTTTGAAATTGTCACTTCAGTATACTTTTGTATGGACATATCTATCATTACTGTAAGTTTCCATAATATCCAATAAAACGACACTAATTATACACCTTTTCTCGCTCTGGCAATAAAGCACATAATATGTTAAAAATCCCTCCACCTACTGGTCATTGGTCTAGAAAATGCCCTCGTTCGTTGAGGGTTAACAATGTGCGTAAAGGGTAAAACCGGTAAAAGTGTTTAAGAAAAAAAAAAAATTTTTTTTTTTTTGACTTGTAAGATGCTTTGGGCCTTCCTCATTGCGCAGCGCTCAGAAAAGATTGCCTGTACAAAATGAATCCTCCTCTCTTCCGCTGGTTTCTAACCCTTTTCATTTTATTCCAATTTTTTTTGTTCACTCTAATGTAATTCAGAGCGAAGATTTCAATTACAGAAGAATAATGTGTTAAATTAACGTCTTATGCCCCCGCGACCAAATGACTTTGGTACGGAGCTCGATGATGATGGAGAGTTGCGTGCACGTCTAGGATCAGAAGGAGCAAAATGTGATGGGGTGCCTGTATTTCTCAGATTTTCGGGATACGGTTCTGCCCCTATTAACCGTATAATACGATCCGTCTGCACTGACGGGAATTAGATCGGACCCATTACCGCTACTAAATCTATGGTTTCTTATCATAGGAGATTACGCATGTTCAATTGTGGCTGGAACGGAACCAGCCTGGATTTGTGCACCTTTATAAACGTGCAACATACGTTGTACTCGATACATGTTGATAGCATCAGTAGGGCTCGGTTTTCTGAGTAATTCGGCGAAGTCATGCAAAGCCATCAATTGACTGTCATTGAAGCTACGTATTATAGATATAATGGGTAAATCGTCTAAAGACGTTTCCTGGGTTGTTTGTGTAGCCATGTTGGCAGTGAGTGGAACAGCTTGCGCTGCTATATCGTAAGTTAAAACTTTCGATTCATTTCTTGAAACATTGATATCGTCATCAGTTTGAGTGCTAACATTATTAAGCAATGTGAGGCTACCGCCGGCCACTTTCATCTCTGCATTCTTTTGTGTTTCGGTTTTTAGTTTTTGGAGTTTGGGTGGTAACTTAATAGATTTCGATTTAATAACAAGGCTGTAAATATCGTAACATAGTACACGGCAGGTGCAGGCAATTTTTGGAGGTAAAGCTTCCAAGCCCCATTCAAGCATATTGAAACTCGTTGCATATGAACTAAATTTATAGCTCACATTGTTCACAGTATGCAAGGGCGAGCGATGCTCATAGAATTTTTTATTACCAAAAGAGGAACCACTTGGTTGCTTCCGTACAGTAGGCGTGAAAATGAATTCTCCTTCGAAATACTTCTGGGATTCAGTACAATATTTTGTAAAGCTATCTAAAGCCGCAGAAACGCGGAAAATGGCTCTATCAAGTTTTTCTTTACGAGATAAAGTTGTTACATTTTCGTGAAACTCTTCGCCAGCTCTTGGTTTCTCCAATATTATGGGTTTGAAAGTCATAGCGTTTGGACTTGAATCGTCGGCATCACACAGAAATTTAGGTGCTAAGGGGCTCGAAGTCGCTAATAAGGGTAAGGAATTCTTTCTATATAAACTGCGGTGAGTCGAAGAAGCAGCTGGTAAAATCGGACGTCTCTTTTCCGATGGCGAATCGCTGACTTGAGTTTTGCCAAATTCTCTTTCCGAAGAATGTGACCGTTTACGCGGTCTCTTTGTAGATTTTTTATGCTTTTTACCCTGCTTGTCCTTGCGTGTGAGTTGTTTTAATTCTTCAAGTTTTTGGGAATATTTGACCTCAAGTTCTTCATTTATAGCCATTTCTACGCGCTCTTTTACTTGATCTATCAGTATATCGTCGAAAAAGCTTTCGGGTATGGGCTCAATTTTAATTGAAGTTTTATTTTGATTGTTTTCTGGTATAAGTTTGATAGCCTCCCCTATTTCATCAGCATCTTTCAATAAATCATCCAAAAAGTCATCTGCTACGTGCTCACTATTCCCCGTAGGGGAATCTAACTTTGAACAAAATTCACTCTTAACTTTTATTCGTGTAAGTGAGGGGGACTGTTTCCCAAACATGACATTGCTTGGCAAGTTATTCGAAGTATCAGCAGGCCATTGCTCTTCTTCAGTATCTGTAAATTCGTCCTCCTCAACTCCTGTTTCCAATTTTATTATGGACGCGTAATCACAAGCATTACCCAATTGAGACAACTCTTCCTTATTTGGGGCATTATCTAGCATATGCCTTCCACTTCCCCGAGGCTCATCGTTGGTTGCACTTATGAAATCTTTAGGTTCAGTTTTTGCTTTCACATTATCTAATTGTTGGCTTACAGCATTTCCCGCAATCTCGTTATAAACGCCAGTGTTTTCTGCTAAGCTTTCGAGAGGATTTTGTTCCTGATTTGCTGCTCTTATATGCATTTCTTTGCCACTGGCCGTTTGTTCGATAATTCCAGCAGCGCTCTCGCCATCTACTATGTCATTCTGTTGCCTGGATTCTATATACAATGTATTTTCAAGTTCTCTTGACATTTTTTTGTTTTTATTTAACAATTCAGCCATATTAGCTGGAGATTATTATATATATATATATTTTTTTTGGTATGTTGAATGAAAATGGACTAAGCCCATAGATTTGTGGCTTATATGTCCAGATAATAAACTGTCGTAATTTTTGGTCACAATTATGTATAAAACCAAACGAAAAAAAGAGCGCCCGTAATGAAAGTTAAACAGTGTTGCAAACTTTGGTTTTTACTCGATAGCGCTGACTTCGAAAGTTTTAGTTTTCTTCTGCTATACTAATAAATGTCTCTCGAATGCATTTGCAAAAAAAAAAACAAAACCAAAAATTTGTTCATATAGTTTTATGAAAGTGACCTTTAAGTAGATAGGATCGACTCGAGGGCTTTCAGTGCTGCTGGCACCGGAAAGAATACTTGATCTTGGAAGATTACTTCTACGGTGCTGCGACTGCAGACTAATGGAAAAAAAAGAATAAGTGAATTAAAAGTGGTCAAAATCGGCTCTTTTTTTATTTTTTTCTTCTTTTTTTTTTAGACTGTTGCAAGATTTACTTTTTGATTTTGTGGGAAAATGTTTATATAAATACGTATATATTGACATTGAGCATATATCGAGCATTGACAGGCACCTTTGTTTTCATTAAATTGTTATATATATACATATACATGTACATTGCTTTACAAATCTCTCTCTGTAGCATATATATGCAAACTTTATCTTCTTTCAGAGAAAAAGAAATTATATACATTTATATATGTGCAAGTATGGATATGTAGTTATATATATAAATTGATAAAAACAATCCAACCACGATAGGCAATAAGCTAAAAAAATTGATGATTGACTTTGCCCATCACCTTTTTGTTTTAAGGTAATATTGCTTTAGCACATAGACGTGTTTTTACCCCACACTACTTGTGGGACTTGAGATATGTTCATCTTTGATTATCCTGTCCATATGTCCGTGTTACTTTTCTGTTTTCAACGTGCAGGCTGCATATTTTTGAGATATTTTGATGAAATTTCGTACACTGACATTCTTTGGCCCAAGCGCGAATGCTATTAAGAATGGGTGATATCGGATCAATTTTTCAGAAATAATTTAGGCCATGCTTTACTATGGCTTTTTTTGCTTGTTTTTTATGCATTGATTCGTTTTCGGTAAATTAATTCAAAGAAATGATCAACAATTTCGTGCTTACAATGTAAGTTTGCGTCTTCTGACGGCGTACGTGAAATTTTGGCAAATTTTATAAAAACTGAAATTGAAAGTGTCTTATGTGATATATAAGAGAGGGGTGCAAATAAGATAAGCAGTAAGATTATTCTTGTCTCCTTATTTTCCAAATACATGGAGAAGAATATTAAATTGCAATGCTTCCCGTATTTTCTGCTATCTTGGATGAGTTACAGCGGTAGATGCAAAATCATTCAATCGAAGCGGGAATAAATTATTCTTTTGTATTTGTTCTATTATTGGCTTTCTCACTTTGCAGCTAATATTTACGAATTTAAAGGTAGTTAATTTTTTTAATTAAATAATTAACAAGTAAGAAAATTAAAATCGGTTTTGAACGAATCACAAGAAAAAACACAATTAAAAAGGTGTGACTAAACATTTTATACCAAATAAATCGTTAAACATCTTTACAGTTATTTATATAACGATTTTCTAAAATAAGGCATTATAAGGGACGTGGTCGAAAAAGCAGGCCAGACGGCCCTTGGTCCAAAACATGTTAGCGTATCAAATTTCATTAAAATATTTTAAAAACTATGGCAAGAAATCAAGACTGACAGACGGACAGATAAATCGTTAGAGAAGTTCAGAGTCACTTTCTGAATTGATCGGCATAACGAAAGATGGATCTTTCTCAAAGTCTCTCGGATGTTTCATACACCTGGGCAAACTTAATATGCCCTTCTACCGCAAGCAGTGCAGGGTTTAAAAAAAAATCTCAAAAATCCAAGGTTCGATAATTTGAAAATTTTTCTTAGGTATCTGTGTGGTTTATAAGAAATGCGCAAAACAAGTCAGAAGGCAGGGGTGTTCTCAATTTATATTGCATTGTGGGCGTGTGCTTTGACTGACTTAGTCTACAAAGATTTCCATTGTTTTTGTTTTTTTTTTTGGCAAATTTGACGACGATATCTTTACTTTTGCGGTCAAAAAAATGTTTTACATTACACGGACGGACAGACGGACGGTAGTTTAATACGATTCAAGATTGTTTATACCTTAAATGGTCTTTCAATTTTCCATCTGGATGGAATACGCCAAATAAATAAAGTTTAGATTTTCATTTACATGGAAACACTTTTCAAGATATTTTGTTTATTATAAGAAGATGTGTCCATCTCCACACTCAACAACCCAAAAAAAAAAAAAAAATATAAGAAGATATCGTATTTCGATGTACATCGAACACTCTGAACTATTAATCTAAACAATATCGTCATACGAGAAGTTAACATATTTATTGCTTACTCAACAAAATGGTCCAAAATGAAAAAAAAAAACATTTACTGCTCTGTTGTTATGCAATCAAAGAAACAAAAAAAAAAAAGAAGAAAACAATTAAATTTTATTGTTTGTTTATATTATAGCGACAAAATTTTTGAAAATTAAAAATCTTGCACCAGATGAAGAGGAAAAGTTAAAAGAACGCTGGATGCAAGAGTATCAATGGCAGCAACAGCTAGAGATTCCGTACATAGTTAAAGCTGTCAAATTACAAGATACAGATTTCATGAAATTTCTTAATAAGTTTCATAGTCAAATTGATTCTTTGCCTGTGATAATTATGGAATATTGCAATGGTGGCGATTTACGCAATTATTTGGCAAGAATTGAGCATTTGAATGGTTTGTTCGAATATGATATACGTCAAGTATTGTATAGTTTAAGGAACGCCATACACTACCTTCATCAGCACTGCAAAGTGCAGCACAGAGATTTGAAACCCGAAAACATTATAATCCACCTCGATGAGGGTGGGAAAGGCCGACATTACAAGGTGGGTAAGTAACTTACGTCAATGCTGGTGATGTATGATTTTTTCATTCTCTTATTGCCGTAGTTGGCCGACTTTGGTTATACTCGTTGCATACCCGAGCATACGAAATTGCAAAGTGTAGTGGGTACACCTGAGTATGTCGCCCCAGAGGTAATTCGGGGTGCACGATATAATGAGACTGTCGATTATTGGTCCATAGGCGTTATAGCATTCGAGATGCTGTGCGGCATACGTCCGTTTCTACCGCATTGCGAATTTTATCGCATAATAGAAACGATACAAAAAAAACCCCAATATTGTATCGCAATCAAGGAAAATTTCGATACGAAAATTGTGCCAAAGAGAGATGGAGATGAGTTCATTTTCGTTGAAAGTATTTTTCCGGAAAACAATTCCACTTTTGTTTTCGCTAAAAAGTTGGAAGCCTGGTTACGTTTAGCATTAGATTCCAATTATAAAAGTCGTGGCCACATTGGAAATGAACTAAAATTCTATACGGAATTAGACGCGATATTAAGTAGTAAAGTGGTTACCGTGTATTGCTTAACTTCATATCAGTTTTTCAGTTTTGAAGTAACACCATCAATGCCTACGGAATGGTTTCTTAACACACTATGCCATGAGACCAAAATTGAAGCTAGAAATCTGTATGTGATTTTGCCGTTAATTCATCCAAAAAACTCTCTTGATAATATTAGCACAGCAATGGATTTTTATGTAGAAGATTGGATTCGAAGAGAGCCAGAAAATCCTTTGGCTATGCTCTACGTGATGGATGTTAGACAATGCGACTGCAATGTAAAATGTCCTAAATTTTCCCCAACTATTATGGATTGTATGGAATTATGCGCGGAAAATTGTAATTCTCTTTCCAAAGGACTGCTGGAGGAATTTGAGCTGCACACGCACTTTGTAATAAGCGATGAACAACGGCATTTAGAAGCGTATTTAGAAGGTTTGCAATGTTATGCGGTGGAAGTGGAGCATCATTTGTTAAGTTTAAAGCCGCAAATAAATAACTTGCGAGACCAACTTTTAATAACGCAAGGAAGGATTCAACAATTTGCACTAACAGTCGATGAGCTAAACAAGCGCATTATATCCAATGTAAGTAGACAAAATGAATGAAAAAAACTTATTCACGGTATTGTGACTTTTTGTTTTTTTTTTTTTTTCCTATAAAAGGATTCACAACAAATTTGGCTCAAAAAAATTGAAACATATTACGAAGAGGTTAAAGAACTTCAGGCAAAATTTTGGGAAACGATGAAAGTAAACTTCCAAAGAATTTGTACAAGTTGCAAGAATCATGCGACAGAGCAGATTTATGAAAATCTTTCCAAAAACGATATTTACAAACTGTAAGAATTTCTTGATTTTCTTCCTTTATTCTAGAAATCACTTTTTTTGTTCTTAATTCTATTTCATTAGCCAAGAATATCGTCGAAGTTTTCGTGAGGATGATAAAAATAGCGATCGTTTGCTAAAGTCTCAATACGCTTTAGATAACCTAAGCATGCGTAAACAAAAAATTCAAAAAGATCCCTTGCTAAAAGAGATCAGAAAATCCTTAAAGTCTAGCGTAGAATTTTATCAAAAAGTTAAACATGATATTTATAACGATATTCAGTACCTGAATAAAATGAATAATAGTTTAGATAATGATTGCAAAGAGATTTTGCAATTTCATTGTCTTGAGCCGTCCATGCCATCACTATATGGAAATAGGAGCAATGAAATTTTAACAGATGCCCATAACATGTAAGTAAAAGCGGTATTAGCAAACGTTAAAAGTTATCTTAGTGTAGAGGTATTGCTATTTAAGTCCACAATCTCGTCCCATATTTTTTCCTCACTTCTTTCTGACTGTCGCCGTGCATGCAGGCGTCCCCTGGGTTCACATAACAAAAAAAAAATAATAATAATAATTCGTATATATATAATTAAAATGATTATCGGTTAGGTTCGCATTTACAAAAATGTAAAAACATTGTAGTCGGGCAAAGCCGACCACTACGACCAGAGTACGCACATTACAGAGAAGTACGCATTACTTTCATGCAAAGCCATAATTTCCATGAAAGCCCGAATATATGAAATTACTATTATGGATCAATTTTCATCACACACATAGACTTTTCTGCCGGATAAAGAATCAATTTTCATCACAATCGTTATTAGGATAGAATCTAAAAAAAAATCGGCCGAAATGTTCCAAATTTGGTATAGATAGTTTTATCTTTTAAATCTGATTTTCATCATAAAGCGTTGAAAATTAGACCTTGCTGGGGGTCCAAAGTTTTCACACCAATTTAAAATACTATTACTTAGACACCGTTGTCGAGAAATTTTCAAAAATTGAAATTTTCGACTTTTCAAAATAGGGCGTTGCAAGGGGTATGGTCGAAAAAGTAGATCGATCCAAACCGTTTTCAGTAGCATTCGTGCTTGGAGCGAGATAATTAAACTTGATTCAGAATAGTGGATTCGGCAATGTTACGTTGAATATGTGTAATATAATATAAAGTACCATATTTGTGTTACGGACTCATACATCCAACCGAAGTATTATCACATCAAGTACATCTAGAATTTCAATTTCATATATTCTGCAATACGTCTATTTGTACATTTTTCGAGCCCGTTCTCTTTGTAACGGTTGCCACGAAAAGTAACTCTTTAGAAAACGAAGCCTAAAGCCAATGCTTGATATCTACCTTATCTATCTTAATATTTTGTAGTGAAATTCTTGTCCGTTTGTCTGGAAACTTTTTCTTGCAAACGTCCCATTTGAACCTTATTTTAAAAGACATAGCCATCGTTGGCCAATGCTTGATGTGTATCGCTTGAAGAGCTCCATACTAAGATCCTCAAACTTTTGAGACCACAGTTTAGAAAAGCCAAAAATTGTTACATCACATGTGCTACAAGTTTTTATGGATCCCTGTCTGTCCGCCTTGATTTCTTGTGTTCAACCTACACAGGTCACAGAGATATTTTGATGGAATTTATTATACCGACGTGTTTTTTTTTGTCACAAGAACGAACGCTATTGAAATGGTTCGGATCATACCACCTTTTCGATCTCTTCCATCTATTTTGGAAAGTCGTTAATGGATGGGGTGGGTCGCGTGTCGCTACAGTGTTTTACTTTGTTTTTTTTTTACAAATCTTTACAGACTTTCTTTTCTTTCCTTATTTGTTGGATTTGTCCCCACAAAAGTGATAAGAAAAAATTTGAGACAAAAGTGTTGCTTACACAATACTAAGGTGATTTTAGCTGATAAGCGAACAAATCTTATCAGGAATATATTATGAACTTCAATATGTTACAAATTGAATTTAAAGGCACTCTCCGCTTGTTATGTACGACACGCCTTTAACTGAAGCTTAAAAACTTCTGGCGGTTTTTCACTTCATCGACCAATAAACAATATAATCCATAACACTATACCCTTTGTTGTTTACCTGTTTATTGCAAACACCATAGCGTACTTCTGCTTAATATCTTGTTATTGCGAATTGATAAAAAGATCAAAGCATAATTATACAGTGGCATTAATTAACATAAGTACTCCTGACTGACGCGACTTACTCGCATTAATATAAAGGGGGGATTGCTGTTAATGTAAGTCCTAATTGTCATACACAATGTAGACAATTAATGCAATTTCGGGGCGGAGCCCATTCATAATTGCGACTACAATAGCCTGTGGATCTTAGCTCAAAATTCGAAACAATTATTGATTTAAAACTTTATAAAACTATATCACAGATCCTGTTAGAGTACAAGTAAAGTCCATGCTAACAAGATAGACAGACGGACGGGTACGGTATAATCGATTTCGAATCATTTTCTACTTGCCGCAATTTTTGAGATATCTCAAAATATCTCAAAAATATATATATATGTATGTATATACGTGTATATATAGTTATTTGTATTACAATTTCATATATTTTTATATATACATGTGCATATATATAGATATTTGTATTTATATTTCAATAGAGAGAGAGAGAAAGAAGAAAAAAAAAATCTAATTTCAAGTGGCATCACAAGTGCTGTGGTTAGTTTCCGCATTTGGATACTTTAACGTTTATTAATTATAGGTTTTCTGATTTTGGTTATGCATATTAAAAATTCCTCCCGCAGGGAATACGATTTTCTTTTACTTATTACATATTCATTTGGGATAGAATGATATTAAAAATTCGCCCTAAGCTTAACTAGTAACAAAATTATATTCGATCGTGATCGTAGCTTTTATATCCACCACCGTTATCTTACAACAAGACCAAAAAAAATTAAAGGAAGTAAATTTTCATATTCTTCATATTTTCATATTGAGTGGACGCCGTAGATCCTTTCTGTTTTCAGATAAAAAGTGGAGAATGTTTACAACCAAAAACGGACAGATGGACATCGTTATATTGGGCCGAAATTCCATGTGGGATCTCTGAAGCTTACTTCTGGGTGTTGTCAACATATTAATAAAATGAATATACTCCTCACCCACCCTAACCAGTTGCTAGATTTTGTATACCTTCGCAGATAGTCTTACTAAACTTTCTTTGTTATTTTCGAAAATTATAATTATAAAAATGTACTAAAAAAAAAATTCTTTTTTTCTTTATAGATTGGACGAAGTCATATCTTATATGAATGTGACGAAGATGAACGAAAATATTGAATAATTTTATTACTTACGAAATTTGTGTAGCGCTTTTCCTTTTTTTTCGAGTTTCGTTATATAAGCTATTTTAAAGCATTTTTTTTTTTTTTGTAGAATTCGTAATTCCAAGTGATTTTTAGTGCATTGCAAGGCAAATAATATTTTTAATTTTTTTTCATTCAGTAAAAGAGAATTTTTTTTAATTAATAACAAAAAAAAAAGAAGATAATGCTGATAATGCAATGCAGTACTTTTCAATAAAACTGTGATTCAGCGAAATAAAAATTTTATACTTAAATAATAATAAAAATTTGCATTTTTGATCAGTAATTGTTTGCATTTCGTTAAGTTTTGAATCGGAAAAAATCAAGGGATGAATAAGACATACGTGTTAATGTCGGTAAAAATCTTGTGGCTAATGGTGGCGATTACAACAAATGCAAGAGAAATATCGAAGACTAAGAATTTTAATAAGAAAAGTGAATTTACTTTGTTTCCTTTTGGTTTCGTTATCCTCTATATATATTATTTTTCTTCCCTTTCACTTTTAAAGCATCTTTTCTCGGTCAATGCAAACGTTACGATCCCAAATTAAATGCATGCGCCCGTCGAGTTTTCAATGAAATCAAAGAACAATTGGTTCATGGTATACCGGAATTGTTTTTGCCGCCATTTGAACCTTTAAGGATACCTGAAATTAAAATGAATCAAGATACCGGAGGTGTTTGCATGCAATCCAGCTATAAAGACATTGAATTGTACGGCTTGACCGATTTCACCGTTAAAGAATTGGACTTTGATTTGGTTAATACCAAATTGAAGACCATTCTGGAATTTCCAAAAATTCGCATGCAATCGCTATACACAATTGATGGTAAAATTATGATGTTACCAATAGTGGGAGCAGGGCCTTGCCAAGCTAATTTTAGTAAGTTAGCTCATCTCCAATCTCATCTATGATTAAAGTTTACATATTTCATTCATAATTGCAGCAAATGTTGAGTTAGATGTAAACATTTTGTGCGAAACTGTATCGATTGAAAATCAAGTTTATCTAGAAGTTAAAGACATTGAAGTTCATTATGAAGTGGGCAATGTGACAATGCATTTAATTGATCTTTTTAATGGTGACAAGGCTTTAAGTGAAAGCATGAACCAATATATAAATGACAATTGGAAGATTTTATCCGAAGATCTTCGCCCTTTACTAGAGAAAGCCTTACGAGAATTCATCAAATCAAGCAGCGATAAATTGCTTACAGTATACACTTATCGTGACTTATTGCCTGAATAGTAGGAATCAGTTTATTTGTGAAGTCAAAGCAAAAAAAAAAAAAAATATATATGTATATATATTTTCCCTTTTGTTATCTCTTTTATTGGTTGATAATAAAAAACGGCTTTGGAAGATGTCCTGGGTGTAGTTCGGAGCTATATTTTACTTTCGTTTCTAGTTAATCGGCAAAAAAAGTTGAAAGGAAAACCACAAGTTAAGTTTTTCAATCCTTGACAAATAAATTTAATCGTAATAGATCGTTAAGCCTTAAGAGCATAGTGATTTGGCATCTGCATCGAATGTCTAAAATTTCATGTTTATGTAGCAATCTTTGCATTGTGTGTTTTTTTTTTTTTCAATTCTAATTTTATCAAAATTATTTTGCCCTTTTTCGGAATTAGATTCTTTGACAGTTTATTTCTTTCTCGCGTGCTATCTAAGAACGATTTGATTTAATTTTAAAAGCAAATATTCATTCTTTTAACGGTTAAAATACCGCCGTTAATACATTGTTTGTATTTGGTTTGAATTGTAACAAAATAAAATTTTATTTACAATGGCAACGCCACTGTGATAGTATCTTTGGAAAAAATTACTGCAAATAAAGTATAATGTATGTGGCAACTTTCGTTTTTATTATTATAGTTAAGTTATTACATATATAAACTCGTTCGTCTTTAAGATTGAAAGTAAAATTTTATTTTGAATTTAATATGCGTTTTAATGCGAAAAATGTCTGCTAAAAATTTATTTTATTTTAGTTTTCGAAAACGAAAAGCACTTGTTTCATGCAAAGTACTTTGCCAGCGATTTTCATAACGCCGTTAACGGAGAAAAAACCGTGAATCGGTAAATGTATATATAAATAATCGAAAGTGTAAATGTATTGCAAAAAAAAAAAACAATTTTCTATTAAATTATTTTAGTGTGTTCCTTAAATTTTGCATTTAGTCTTCACTATATGTATGTGCGTTTCAAATTAAAAATTTCCTTAATTTATTTCCGGGTTATATACGTGACAGTTGATATGCGATGTAAGAAAATTTATTTTCTTAAAATTATTTAGTAATACGCGTTGACTGCGCCAAGCAAATTAGAAATTTATTTAATTTTTGCCAAGTTTTCGTGTATTACTTTCGTAACTGACTAATTTCAATTATTGGTAAACTTTCTGTTACAATATGGCGCTTAAGTTAAAGCGATCATAGAGGATGTAAAAGAATCCTAAAGGATATTAAAAGTAAGTCAGTTGCATTGTAGAGCTGTCTTTCTCCTTTTTTAAACTTAAGAATTTTTTAAACTAAGCGAGCTGTGTTTATTTTGCTTGCTTCTTTTTCTTGTTCTTCTTCTAAGAATTCAATTGTTGGATGTTTATATTGTATTGCAATACCGTGAAAGAAGAGTAAGACCAATATTTAAATTAAATTGCCCTTTTTCACACATCTCAGCGAATTTTCGGCTATTGATTTGTGGAATAGGAAAAGAAGAAATTAAATTTCGCGGGTATATCAAATGTCAAAAAATTTTTTTTCTAAATTGATGCCCCAGTAACGGACATCTTTGTCAACTTCACATCACATAAACGTTGTTAGTATTATAGCTGCGTTTGCTTTGTTGCACTATTTGTGAAACGATAATTTCCACCTACAACGACATAATGAACGCATTGTTATGGGAGACGAAACCTATACCCATACATACGCCTCGAAAACAGTCAACCAATCGAGCGAATATCGTGCAGGAAATGAGCAAAAACCGCGTCAAAGTGTTGCTCACAAGTTTCTTCAATTATCGTAGTGTTGTGCACTATGAATTCCTTTCACCGGGCCAAACTCTTAACAGGGCATATTATTAGAATTTGCGGATCACGTTGCAGGTGACAAAGTAGTTTTGGTATAATAAATAGAAAGAAAAAAACTAAATTGGTCTTACTGTTTGGACACACAGTAGTATCTCAAATCGTTGTGAGGATATATGATTCGATATATTGGTATGATTTATAGCAATTTGTTACCTGCGTTGTCTGTAAACGCATTAGTGACCAATGAAAACATAATGGGGTAAAATTGCTTGGTAATTAGATATTTTAGATAAGCGTGTGTTTTAGATTGTTTTTAGGTCGTAATGGATGTTTTATTTTTCCGTCTCAGAAAATATGAATGCAAATTTATAGATTAAAGTGTTTAGTCATTTTGCTTAATAATAAACGTAGCTAAATAGAGAATAAAAATAATTACTTATCAGGCACATTTGCATTATATGTCGTCGTAAAAGTAGGTATATTAAATTTTTATATAAGAATAATGGAACCTTTGTTAGTCTCAACGCGAAAAACATCTCCAAAAATGTATTCGCTGCAGGAAAATATTCCAAAATCTTTGAAAGATGAAAATTGAACGCTTCTAGATGTGGTCTAAATACGGCCTTATTAACTGAACGAAGTAGTATATTGAACTTGATGTCAGAGCTCTATCGTAGACAAAGCGTATACATGTGTTACCTCTCGATGCATTAAGGCTAAGGTGCTGTCATACAATAGATGTCGCTACCATTTTTTTGTTTTGGTAATTTCCTATTTAACCATATTCCGTTAACCTTTTCAAAAGCTGCTTCTTTTACATCTCACACTTTTGATTGATTTGTGATTTTTATGGAGCAAAACTTGAGACAAAAGAGCGTGATAAGTTTTGTTTTAAAAAAAAAAATTGTTGTGCGAAGAATTAGAAAAAGCTTACAAAAGCAGATCGTGTATGTTTCTCTACTAAACAGAGTTAATCATCTGTTGTTGATTCGCTCAACAAAGTATTAAAAAATATCATATATTAAAAACATTAGATATATAGGAGAAAACATTTGGTTAGCAACATTTATACATCCAAAATATCATGCCCAGGATGAAGACATCCAATAAAAACACGCTCTATAAAAGAGGGAAAGAGTAAAAGAACTGAAACGAACATATTTACTGAAATTTATGCACCATGTAGGTGTAAGACCTTTTTAAACTAACTTAAATTAATTTTCTGATAAAGCAAGTTACTTCCCCGATATGACGTTTGTTTTCTGTTGCAAAGGGTTTTATTAGCCACCCTTTTAGACGAACTTTATGTTCTGCACGAATCCCGAAAAAAAAAAAATGTCTTTTCCAATTCTAGTTTCGGCATAGACACTTGTACGGCAACAACAGAATTTGGGTAATACCATGATCAGTCGGTCTGGTTATGCCCACACATGTGTTACTCTACTACGGGGAATACCCGAATTTTATGATCATTTTTCATTTGAATCAAACCCGACAGTTGTGCTAGACATATCTGACATACCTACTGAAGATAGCATTTTCGATCCAGTCCGTAATAAACGTGCACGGTTGTTATTAAGTAGCGATCGTAGTATAAATATGTAATACAGATTTCATTACTATTTTTTTTTTGCACATCTTTTTTTCAACTTATATGGCTTTTTAAAGTTGTAGAAAGTATCCCCAAATTTACCCTATATCACTCGAAACCAATTGTTGTTGTTTTATAAACACTTGATATAGGTTTCACTATTATTTTTTTACACGATATTTTTCCCCATAGTTTTCGAAGAAATTGATCTACCGTGTAAAAAATTACCTGGGTTTTTTTCTTACCGTTTTCTAAGAAATATATCTGCCATGTAAAAAAAGTAATTGGGTGCATATAGCTTACACAATCTGTGATAGCTTTGCAAAATTACAAAATTTGTTAAACGTTTTTCCATAGATTTTTATTATGCTGTTCAGTGCGCTTTTTTACATTTTCGATTACAAAAACTCGCTAATATTAATCCTAAATATTTCTATCACTTAGAGACAATTTTTTAATTAAAAAAAATATATATATATATATTTTTAATGCTGTTTTTATTTTTGATCTATCTTACAATATAAAATTTACTTATTTTTTATTTTTTTTTAAATTTATATATATATTTATGTATATGTATATATATGTAAGAACAACAAAGAATAAGAATTCTTTAGGATATTAAATAAGATTCGTTATGTACACAAAATGTTTTTTTCATAATTTAACATTAAATAAAAATAATTATTGCAAGTAGTTGTGCTTAAGGTAAGAAATTCATGAATTAAATGTTTTTAGTCTTTTTCAATAGAAGTTTTTTTTCTCTCTTACTTAGGTCTTCTCCAATAAAAACACCTAAAGCGTAATATAAATTCTAATCTGGCAATACTGCTTAAATTTCTAACACATATTTCCCCTCTTTTCTCCATTCTTGTCTTTTTCTTCTTCTTTTCTCTCACTCTCTCTCTCTCTCTCTCTCTCTTTCTCTATCAGTGTCTCCATTATGATCGAAGAGTATAGAAGAAATAAACTTTTTTCCTTTTCACTTACTCCTCATAAATTTTAAGTTTCTTGATATTACTGCGTCCTTCTTATATCTGCCAGCTTTTTCTTTTTTTTTCTTTTCAATGAAAACATTTCGATACCAGAGAAAATAGCATGGCGATATGGCTTGCTATACATGTGTACAAACATATATGCAGTTGTAATCTTAAGGTCGCTACCGCTCTTCGTATATGGATAAATTATAGCCCTTTAAGAAGTGGCCATTAATTTGGCCGCTTGTATAACATTGTGTTGATGATGATAAACACCAGCCATATCGCTGGCAGCATTGCCATGAAGTCCGCTTGCTGTCGCCGATGTTGGACTACTGCCCAAATGTCCAAAGGAACTGCCAAAATAACAATTATTCACGTAATCGTAATTTGTAGCACTGCTCTCCGCCTTAACGCTATAGCCCATACTGCCCGTACTGCCGGGACCTGCTGAGGAGCTCACATGATGATGACTTAATGAAGATGAATGATGTTGATGATGATGGGTAGCATGATGGACAGCAGCTGCTGCCGCATGATGATGATGATGATGATGTAAGTGATGTGAATGATGATAATTGGAACTTGATGAACCTGTTCCGGGCGCGGTAAGACCGTTTGTCAGTGAATTTGTAGAGCCAAGTAAATGTTCGTATTTAGTGGGAGCTGCAGGATGAGAACTAAAGGCAGTACCTGAGAGCTGAGAGTGGCCCAAGTTACTTTGCATCGTTATGGCCGAAGATGAACACAAATTTGTGTTATGCGGTAAATTCGCTGACGTCGACGTTGCTGCACTGGAACCATTTATATTATTTGCGGCAGATGTATGCGTGATCGCGCTATGCTGTGACGATAGTCTACTTTGTTGCGCAGAGGAAGTGGACGGGATATGCATATGATGATGACTCAAAGAATTATGCAAAGCGGAACTGGCAGAACCCAAACTTAAAGTGTGTAGTACTGAGGTACTGTTATTTGTGCCTTTAACTCCTAAGTCATTTTGCAGTCTTGTCGCTAGACTGCCCGTTAAACTGTGCCGATCTAAAGCTAATGATGGCTTATGATCTGCAAAAATCTAATTAAAATCTTTTCGAAAAGCAAAAAACAATATATGGATTACCTTCATCTTTAATATCTTTACTATTTTCCGAGGAACTACTTGACTTTTTCGGTTTCCTTTTCCTCGTTTGAATGCCATCTTTACGCATAGCCAAAGGCCTATTCACACCATGTAATTTAAAATATAAACCGCATGCATTGCATACTGGTTCACCTTCGTTATTACGGCGCCAAAGAGTTGTGGTGCGAGTACCACAGTTAGTACAGCATAAACCTAAACGACGGGTAGCAGTCTATATAAAGTCAAAGCAAAAAAAAAAAAGAGAAAAAACTTTCAATTAACAGAGTATTCCAATAGCAACTTAATGGTATGCGCACTCACTGCACTCACCAATCGCTTGCTTGGCTTAATCAACGGCCGATTCATGCCGTTCATTTTATGATATAGACCGCAAGCGTTACAAAGATAATGACCAGTACCATCACGTCGCCATAGCGGCGTACTAATAGCACCACAATTTACACATTCTCGACCTTCGCCAAATTGAAAATCGATTGCGCTATCATAAGGTGAGGAACGTTGAAAACCTGTCGGATCGTAAGCGGCCCGCCACGAACCCATCATAACTGCATTTTGTGTATAAAACTGGGGAGGCAATTGTGCGTGGGCGGTACCAAAACTATCTGAAGTCCATGCATTTTGGGCGGCCGCTGTACCAAAGTGAGCAGCTACGTGTTGATACTGACTGCTAGTTAAAGCACGATTGGAGGGTACGTAGACAGGAGCACTGACTGTTGCCACAGCTGCGGCAGCTTGCTGATGATACGAAGAGACTCCAGTCGCACCTGCATTGCCTGTTAAATCCGGATAACCGGCTCCCGAATGATACATTTTTGTAGTTTGCGGAATATGTTGTGACAATTGGTGACGATCTTGACTTATATCTATTGGTTCGGTATGCAAGTCTAAATGCTGTTCCCGTTGCCTCTGATGAGGAGCTATCGAAGGAGACTGGCTAATAGGCAAAGGCTGCCTTACTAAATTGGAAAAGTTCTTCGCAAAAGATGGCTCAAATGTGGGCTGCAAAGAAAAGCGGAAATCAGGAAAAGTATGTTAAAAACGTCAATCATTTGTTCTTCGTACAATGCACTATAGTTAACTGCCTTTTGATTTGCTCTCTCTTTCGTTGCCTATGCGAGCAATTGAGCAAAGGGTTTCATAACATAATTTATTCCCCGACTTTTCTCTCTTATGTTTTACTACTTCCATGTGAATGACACTTGATTTTAATTTCTCTCACATATATACAGGCATACAGGCATAGATATACAGTGGAGGCTCTTATAGCACGCGTTCCTTTAAGTTGGATGCGTATAACACAGCGGAAAAATGGCGACCTTTTCACAACAAAACTTACAAGCTGCAGTCTTACGCACTGTATCTGATGTCTTCTTTTTTAAGGCGAGTGTTCACAAACACTGCTTCCTTTCCCCACCTCTGTCTGCCTATAACTCTTTCTGACTGCTACTGTGACATTCTTATAACATGCATTCCTATAAGAAGAATGTGTATAACACGAGGAAAAAATTGCTACCTTTCCTTCGAAGAACAACCAGACCTTTTAGCTGTGGACTTACGCACTATATCAGATGGTTCGATTTTTAAAGCAAGTCTTCACAAACACTGCTTCCTTTTCCCACCTCTCTTTGTCTCTATAACCCTTTCTGACTGCTACCGCGCACGCACGTACAGGCGACATTCCCTGAGCGCTTCGTGACAGAAAATATATATTGAGAAATTTTTATACGTTTCTCTCTTTCTCTTCTGAAAAAAGAAAACATTTATTGCTCAACGACCCTAAAGACTATCATGCAGTGCCTTAAAACTGATTATAAAAGAAAGCTATTTTAGATACAACAATTGAGTGAATCGCTCCCTACTTTTACAATCTTAGTGACTTGTACGAGACGAATTTACATAAAACGGATCGAACTGTAGTGTTACAGTTGAGTCTACTGTATACGTTTTTCTCTTTCATTTCAAATACACTACCGCGATGCGGCGTTCATTCATTTACGTATCCTAATGCAACCAATAGATAGACTTACATAACTATGGGCTTCAATCTAACTCGTTTGGTTGCAGTTCTCTCGCCGATATTTTTGATTAAGTACATTTTTAGGAACAACGTTTTCTCATCTTCCGTGTGTTTGTTAAAGACCCCGGCATAAGGGGCACAAATACAAATGCTTCTAGAAAGTTTTGTATATAGCGAGCAAGTAAATAGTGTCTGCTTTGTGCCTTATATGAAATATAAATCAGATGAGGGTAAACTGGAATGAATACTTGGCCATGAATATCTATAACTTTTGCAATACAACTCTGGTAGAATAAAAAATTTTTCTAATGTGTGGAAAGTTATATCTTCAGGATCAGTATATATTGCTCGGTTGTTGGGTAAAGCCTCCCAATAGAACACTTTTAATATTTTCTTCAAAAAGTTATTGGTTTGGTTGTCATCTTGTAAAACCATTTTAGCATACTTTCTTGCATATTTTGAAGGCTCGGCCTATAACAAACCAATCAATTGTTAGTGGTTGCTTTCAACGGCTATGATTTCAAGTGATAATACCACAGCTGCTCTCATCAAATAAAGAGTATGCCGTTGGCTCGATAAATACTCAGCTATGCCGTATATGCTGATGGTTTGCCTGACATTATCGTAGTATACACATTCGTCATTATCTGTTGCGATTTAGTTTCGTTCTTTAATGAATTAAACGGAAGAAGTAACGCTTCCTGCTAATGACTTTCAGCTATGTAGCTCATTGCTTATAAAATTTAAAAAAATTTATTTTATGCAACATAGTTGTGCTGAAAGCTTAAAGTTACTATTGTGACACGGAAAAACTACCACATGAAGTAAGACAAACGATTAGTTAACGCGATTTGATCAAAAACTAGCGAGAATTTCTGACTTGCACCGATATAAATACTGTATTGTGCCAAATCTCCTTGTGTTCTGATATCTGATTGTATTAAGGCTGGGTTTGTTCATAGTCGAACGAACCAGCGAGTATTCATCAAAATTTTCAAAGACTTATCAGCGATTTTGTTAGAAAGTTTTTTTGAAGAAGAGAAAAAAGGTTAGGGCAGTACTGATATCCTTCAAAAGTTCAAAAAAAAATTGGAAGTGCGTGCAGAAGAAAAAGAAACCTTATGGGAGTTCTACGAAAGGGGTTTACTACCTTGTTTGCGAGTTTTGAGGAAAAAACGTTGTCGCGAGATGGCTGTATTTTGAAAGGCGGAAATTTGTTGGGAGTTCGCAACTATTGTTGCATCCCAGCTGTAGCTCGTTGAGACATTTTTTTAATTTCTTAACTCTACAAGGCTCTTAAAGCACTACGTTTTTCAACATTAAGTGAGATAAAGTCTAAATCGCGGATCAAGCCAAAAATAATACCCAAAGACCACCTTCACCTATGTTTTTCGGGACTGAAAGCAATCGTCACCAAAAGTATATTATCTCAAAAGGCTTTACATTCAAATGAATGGAATCAATGTTAGAAATGAGATAAATAATTTTTGATAAACTCAAAAATTCTTGTTACTTTTTGATCAATACGCTTACGCATCTAAACAATAATTATCATGTTTTCTCCAGTTATTGCCATCAATTGATTATCGTATAGTTTAGCTATAGAAATATTCATCGAACATAAACTTTATTTGTATTCAAAAGACAATAAACTTATATATAAGCATAAAATTATAAAAAAATGTAATAAAAATTTATAAGCACATACATCTTCTATGCGTAAACACACATTTACATTGCGTATTCATATTTAACCGTTAACACGAGAATATTCATTTGCTTTTATCTTATCCCCAAAACGATGAAACGATAATGTATCAAATTAATGCACAATTTGTTATGAGGCAATGAAAACAGATGCCCACAGAAATATCATTAAGTTTACTAAAAGCGAAAAAATTGTTGTCTACTATCTAAGGAAAGAAAATTTTAATAATCACTTTTCTCTTTCATAATTCAAGTCAGAAAGCTGCGTTCGGTACAGGGACCTGTTTTTCAACATTTTAAACTTATTTAATGCCAGTGATGGCTGACGGATAAAAAATTGTAAAATGTATCTGCTACTCGCCAAGTCTTAATGGTATGTTTTCCCTTAAATCGGATGCAGAGGAGTCCTCCAGACTTATTTTTGGTCGTTTGTAAGTGTGTGTCTTTATATTGACAGAATTAACACAATTCGGAAGACCAAATAGACCTCCTGTAAGTTAATGGGTCTCTATGAATTTGACTCCGATTTTCGAAGAGAGAGTTTAAGATGCTCAATAAAACTTTGGGTTCTTCGTTTGAAAGTATTATCCTGGAGCTCTTCGTAACTGTATAAAGGATGGAAGATCAATTGGTCATCCTCTCATAAATTATCGGACGTATGATAGTGACTCCACTGTTTTCTCAGAGAGAGTGTTATTAGTACCGTAGGACGCTAAGAATAAAACTGTGGCTTCCTCATTTGAAGGCACTATCTTGAAGCTCTCTATTACTACATAAGTGATCATATCAACGTGTTTTTCGTGCAGTATAAAGCTATAAAGGCACTGGCAGGAAAATCTACTTTTCATGCTTAATTCGAAAAGTGGTGGAGCTTAGCCTTTATGAATGAAGGACAGTTTATGCCTTAAGTTATTCAAGATCAAAATAACTATGACGGGGAGTAGAGGGACCATTGACATCGATGATAAAGCTGAATGCCGAACGCGGCCTAAGGTGAGGGCGTGGTTAGCTGGGCACTGCTTCTGTTATATTTGATTCCAATTAAGTGGAACTGTCACTGCGAAAGGCTACCAACCATAACTGATGCAACTGGGACAAAAACAGCTGTGGTATGCCAAAAATCATGATAGCCTTAGTTTTGTCAGACAGTACTGTATTGTATTGAAAGACTTCGACTGCACGCCAAGGGGATGTTTGCAGTTCTAAACTGGAATGCGTTAAGACATTCTCGGTTACTATCAACAGACATTACTTCTTCCGCTTAATGCGCATTTTCGCAGGTAATTTAGTCTTTGTTCGATCGATAGTTGCATTCTTATGAAAATATCCAAATAGAGTTTATTGTCTGCATAGCCTTTAGAAGACCGGTTGATCTTTCCTCATGAAATTTATGATACTTCAAAGAGATATTAGAACTAGCGATAGATAATATTTTAAATAAAGCCTCGAATGTCGATAAACGATAAAAGAAAGATGCAAAAAAAAAAAAAAATTATATTCGGTCGAATCTTTTATACGCATTCCCGTTATCCTAAAAAAGACAAAAAACGTAACATAACTAAACTTCATGCTCTATGACATAAAGTGGGTGCAGCTAATTTTTTCCATTTTCGAAGTAAAAGGTTTTTTCACATACGCGTTTGGGCGTTGTAGGCATGTCCTTGAAAAAGCTTAACTCAGTTCGAAATTGTTTTGCAAATTTTTCATTTTCACTAACGAGAGAACGTTTAGTATAAATGCTACACAATTGCGTAGATAAACAGGTAGAAAGACGAACAGACGGACGGACGGATGATCAGGTGCAGTCCAAATATACTTTTTGGAATTTTTCAAATTCCTATCTGCTCCTTATAAAGGCATTTGAAAAAATATAATTTTGATACATTATTTTATCGGGTAGGCGTGCGTCAATTTTGTCCATCAAATGTTCAAATTTTTATGAATTTATATGCTATAGTTTATGAGCAATAAGCAAAATATCAATTTTTTATTACTTTTGAAAAAGAGAGGTGTTCTCAGTTTACATGGTGCTGGTGGACACTTCCTTCGACCGATTTGGTCTATTTTCATTACCAACCTGCGCCCAAGGAAATTCCAATGGTTCTGCGAAATTTGAAGTCGATAGCTTCATTTGTGTCGCTAGGAAAGTGTTTACCACGGAGATTGCACAGATGGACGAATACACAAGCGGACGGAGGGACATGCTTAAATCGATTTAGAATTATATAATTTATGGGGTCTCTGATACTTTCTTCGGGGCGTTGCAAACGTTTTG